CAAATATCTCAACAACTTTTCATCTCAGCGACGTTAAACTTTAACTCTTCTTTGTCTCTCTTTGATAGAATCTCAAAATAATCTAAAGAAACATCAGATTCTTCTCTAAAGTTTATGTTGTTAGCTGTTGTAACAACGCTCTGTTTACCTGCTGACATCCCCCTTTGACATCACTTCCTGTTTCTAAACATGCAAATATCTCAACAACTTTTCATCTCAGCGACGTGAAATTTGTTTTGCAATATTTTATCGATATTATCTTTCCAAAAATGCATTTATGTTTATTACAAAAAATTGATGTCACGGGCATTTTAAATACGTTGCCCAGTGTGGTAAGTTGTTTGTTGTTGCAATATTAAGCATTTGTGTGACTGCGTAGATCATTTCTTGTTTTGTAAACTACCTGCACAAGTGCTTTGCAGAGATTAGCATTATGCTAGCGGTTTTCAACAAGGTTTAGATTGTATTTTAGCAGCTAATTAGCATGACGCTAACACTTGTTTTGTGCGCAATTTAGATTCATATTGATATGTTGTCGACTAATGTTTGAAAGGASTAAATTAAATGTGGTTCACATCGTATTGTTTGCCAAATTAGACTCAGCACAGTTTTGTTTTTATAAATTATGTTTATAAATAATGGTTATAACAGGGGGGTTTGAGGAAAATCGGTTGTGAACCACTGGTGTTGGAGAGACCAAGCCCATTTCCCACCGTTTTCAGTGACCAGATGATCTGCAGCAGTCAGAGCCCAGTGACATACCAGCTTTACAATCGAGAACTGGAAAAACTCGTACTTTTTTTCCTCGCGCCCTCCTCCATGTCAGGGTTGCGGGTCACCATCACCACCTTCACCATGAGGCTGTTGCCCCCCTGTCGGATCATGTTGACGACCTGCCGGTGACCAACCTTCACCACATTCTGACCGTTGACCTGAGATTAAACAAAAAAAAAGTGTTAACGTGGTTTATGAATATTTATACTCCTTTTCTCCCATTAGCACTTTTAATTTTTAGTCCATTTAGATTTGTTTTACAGATTTAATYTGCATAAATCAATACAAATCTGCATATTTTTATTCCCTCCAATTACAAAACTTTGCAGAAACGTGGATTATAAATGTGAGATGCTGAAGAGATTAGGAGTTATCACAATGCAGATCTTATCGGTACCTCGATGAGGAAATCCCCCATCCTGAGTCCAGCTCTCCAGGCCACGCCCCCTTCGTCCACCGATTCCAGRTACTGCAGAGCCGGGAAGGCCGGGGTGGGAGTGAACTCTTCGATGGGAGTTTGAGCTGAAAATACCAGATTATATCAGACGTGCTGGAAAACATCTGGGGTTTCTGATTTTGGATCGAAGGGGAAAACGTCACCTTTGGCCCCTCGCAGCACAAAGCCGAAGCCCTCGCTGTCTTTCTTCTGCAGAAGCACCGTCTTCTCCTTGATTATATAGTCACTGGAAGAGGAAACGCAGACAAGTCAGACATTTCATTTTTACTSTCACATCTTGCACATTTTTTAAAATATATTTTATTATTTTGCCTGCCTGAACGGTGGGGCTCTTTGGTAAACCAACATGTTTAAGCTTCAGTAGAAAACTGCTGCTGTTAAAACCTCTGTTAATAATTGGTGGGAGATGAGCTCGGCCTCACGCTCCTCCATGTTTCTGACAGCCGGGTTCCACCAGAACCTCAGAGAGAAGCTATATACGGTGGCGCTGCCTCAGCAACAACTAGAACTGGACTGGGATGAAGTTGGACTGGTCCACAGCAGAGCCAGGCTGCAGAACGGTAAACTCTAAACTGTTTCTCAGCTGGCCTGGGAACACCTTGGGATTCCCCCAGAGGAGCTGGTCCAAGTGGCTCCAGAGAGGGAAGTCTGGGTCTCTCTGCTGAGGCTGCTGCCCCCGAGACCTGACCCCAGATAAGAGGAAGGAAACGGACGGACAGAAGTTACTGGAATGAGTTTTTCCTCAAGTCTTTTATCCACAGAAAAACATAATTATTTGATTTTTGTCTCTAAGTGTTCCAATGGTGTTCACCATTAAATCCTCTTAAATGACTGGATTTAAAGAAACTACATTAACCATCAATTTAAACATAAATAAAATAATAGAGACTCAAATACAGGATTTTTATTTYGCATAAAAACCCAACAGAATTCAAATTAATCTTAAATCAGTTTAAAGGGATCCATGATTAGTTGTAACATTAAACTTTATTTGATAAACATATTTTAACTGTAAAATAAAGACTGTAAAAATACTGTAGGCTGTTTAGTTTTTATCATTTTTAAACTAAATTTTTCTAAATATCTTGTTTGGACGGAGCCATTTTATTTACACACAAAGCATTCTGGGTAAATGATGATGTGGATAGGTCATCGGTGCGAGGCTGCTAGCGAGCTATATCCACCCTGAAGGTTAATCTTGGACAATATCTGATGATCGACTCTTTTAAATGAAACCAGAGAGCGTTGACAGAGAGGAGAAGGTAGAAATGACTCAGCCTGGAACTGAAAATATGGATGGAGGACAACAGWKYAGCTGGTTAGTTTGTCGCGTTAGCGCCGAGCTAATACAATATAGCGTCAGCGCTAACGCCAAAGCTAACAGGCTAATCTGAGGTTCTTCTTCCATGAAGCAGCTCTGTTGTCCTCCATCCATATTTTCAGTTCCAGGCTGAGTCATTTCTACCTTCTCCTCTCTGTCAACGCTCTCTGGTTTCATTTAAAAGAGTCGATCATCAGATATTGTCCAAGATTAACCTTCAGGGTGGATATAGCTCGCTAGCAGCCTCGCACCGAGGACCTATCCACGTCATCATTTACCCAGAATGCTTTGTGTGTAAATAAAATGGCTCCGTCCGAATTAAAATATATATTTTAAAATTTACTAAACTAAACATCCTACAGTATTTTTACAGTTAAAATAAATGTTTATCAGATAAAGTCTAATGTTAAAACTAATAGTGGATCCCTTTAAGCAAACTAGATTTGATGTTGGTAGAAAATCTTAATAGAAAACAAAACATCTTTGTAGAAATGCACGTTGCCCACCACCTTTCCTGTTTTTGAATAAAGCTGGCGTCTCAACCAGCAGGACGACGTCCTTTACAAATGACTCTTCCAAATGTTTTGCGATGTTTGTGGCGGTTTTAACGTTCTTGTGCGAATCGCTTGAGTTCTGAACAAGTTCAAAATTATTTGTGCGACAAGTTTTCTTCCTGGCCTCGTCACAAGAACCTTTGGGACTCCACATCGGACCCCTCCAACAGAAAACACCCGAGGTAAACGTCCAGGTTTGACAACCACAGAGATAATAATATATTTTTTAAAAATGGTACAAGTCTGCCTATCAAAATAAACAAATAATAATCCAGTAATAATCCAGCTTTCAAGCCCCAAAACACATTACGGCAAAGGCTGGTTCACCCCAAAGATCCGGTGCCCCGGCACAAACAGARCAATGTTGTATATGCTGTTAAGTGCCAGGAGGACTGCGACCAGTTATACATCGGGGAAACAAAGCAGCCACTGTTCAAAAGAATGTCCCAACACAGACGAGCTACATCTAATGGCCAGAACTCTGCAGTTTTCACTCATTTACAGGCCAGTGGTCACTCTTTCAGAGATGAGGATGTTCTCATTCTTGATAGAGAGGAACGYTGGTTTGAGAGAGGAGTAAAAGAAGCCATTTTTGTGAAGAAAGACCGTCCATCATTAAACAGAGGTGGAGGCCTCCGTTTTCAGTTGTCCCCCTCCTACAGTGCTGCTATTGCCAGTATCACTCCACCCCCTGGTAACAATAGGTGTTAATTAGGTGTCAACGATAGCCATGTGATGTGAGTATCAGTCACATGGAGGCAGGGCTTAAAAGCCTGAATTTTGCCTGAAACTCTCAGACTGAAGAAGTCTCTTGGAGGAGAGACGAAACGTTTCATTAGAGAAGAACCCRTCCAGAAGACCTATACAATTTTTTTCTTTTTAATCATCCAGTAAATTAAGCCCTGAATGAGGGGGAAGGTGCGATGTGAGGAGAGTTGGACAACGAAATAATGTGCGCAGCCAAAACAGGCAGTGATTGTCCAAACCAGAGCTCACACTTAGAGTTTACGATGCTCAAACAGAAAACATTTTTTAATCATCCGGCAGGTTTTAGTCTCCATGAAAGCCCAGTGAGTTACAACGCATTTGGTCAAATCTGCTCTGCTGTGGCGGCCATCTTGAACTGGATAGATGAGTTGTAGCTGTCCACCCAGAGATCCCTTTATGAAAGATTCGACTGGTTCATGAGATATTTGACTGATAAAAAGACTTTTCTTATTTCTTTTCACTGAGTTTGAACAATATGAGATGAGTTTGGCATCAAGAAGGMTCAGCGTTATCGTCGCTGACATATCAGAGATGTTTGTTTTGTTGTGAATGAAAAGGCCGTTCAGTCAGTGAGTCACAGAGTTATATATAATCTGTAGAAATCAGCTGTAACATACTGTAACCACATGCTGATAATCCCATCGTGCACCAGAGCAGTCCCAGCCCACTCCATCTGTTCTTCACTCGCCTTTTTTTTCTTTACATTTTCCCGTCCTGATGGTTTTTCCACTCCTTCCTGCCTTTACGATCAGMCACAAAGTTTTTTTTTTCTTTTTAAATCACATTTCCCACTTCAGCTCTGTCCCTTTTGGCCTATTAAGTGTGTGATTGTCTGTCACTTTGTGGTTCTCCTCTTTCGTCCATCTCTGCCACCCGGCWCAGATCATAAACACCCTGAAGCTCTTCCAATTGAATAAATTAAGTCCAAGAAACACGTCTACTTTATGGTTTATCCTGAACAAACAGACAGCAGGACAAGAAGATGACGTATTTGATGCAGCAGATTCAGGTTTTTGTGTCTCTTTACACAAATTTACAAATTTACTGCCCCCTTGGCTCATGAGTCTGTCATTTTTTCTGCTTATCTTATTTTTATCTTATTTCATTTTTATAGCCTTGTACAGTTTATTTTACTCTATTTTTAAATTTTATTATTCTTATTTTTTATTCTATTATTATTGCTACTGTTGATAAAGTCACACAGCAATATATATTGTTTTGTGGATTGATGTATCTGCTGCTGCTGTTGTACCTGATTTTTTTTTATTTCAAACTTTATTCATACCATAAAAATAAAATTATATGTACAAAAAAAAAAGAAAATACAAATAAGCCCTGATGCATCTCAGTAATCCAGGTAAAAAATCAAAAAGAAAAGAATTGTATAGGTCTTC